ACCCCCTCCCATTCACAGACTTCCACACCCAATGTCAGTAATGCAGGCATGTAGGCATTCAGCGGCAATGCCAGCGCCTTCCACAAGGACATGCCTTCATTTTCTGGTCAGTGCTTCTGATGGACCTCTTCCAGGTATATTTCAAAACTCACTCCATAAGTTCCAATAATATGTGGATAGGACTAGTTTAATTTTGTGCAATAATCATTGATTTTTAGGCATCCTGAAGACCAACTCTATGACTGATGCAGACCTTTAGAACTCCTGGTCAACAGTACCTAGCAAGTCAGAGGAAAGACAGGGGCTTGGGTGCTTAATGAAGACTTGAGGGAGCTACACTGAACTGATGACAACAGAAAAATACCTTCTACCTCCATTGGTCCTGAGCCTTGGTCAAAACAGTTCCATCAATGAGGAATAGGAGCCATCAGTGGTATTGGTCCAGGAGACTGGTCCAGGTTCTTTGAGTTTTGGGGGACAGGAACTTCATGGCATAGTCATCACAAGGATTGACTCATTTAATGGGGATGGTAGAAAAAGGTTACTGAGGTAACCCTGGACCTCTGGACTCTGATGTAGGGCACAGATATGTCCAACTCTTCAAAACAAGGATGAATAACTTGGTTCCCTCTGCTGTGCATCCTTTTGTAATCTCACTAAAGAAAGGATTGGTCATGAAGACAGCAATAACTAGTCCTCATCTCTTGTCTAAGAGGGGAGGGTCACTTGCTAAGGCCTATTTGCAGTATGTTCACAAAACTCTTGAATATTAGGAATGGTACTCCTTCATCTACTTGTTCTGGGCAGCCTAGTGGGTTAGGGTTAGAGATCAAACATTAAGTTATACTAGTATACAATGAGAGAATACAGTTGTATATAGAAAATCACAAGAAATATGGAAATTATTTGGGTACAGGATGTCTCAAAGCCATGAATAGAGAGATGGCTAGGTAGGTAGGTAGAAAGATAGACAGACAGGCAGACAGACAGACAGATAGATAGATAGATAGATAGATAGATGATAGATGGATGGATGGATGGATAGATAGACAGACAGATAGATAGATAGACAGACAGATAAAGTAGGTCAAAATACAGTCATGTTAATTCTCTCAGCCTCAATTTTCTCAACTGTAAAATTAAAGTAATAATTCCTGTAGTACCACAGGATTGTTCTGAGGTTCCAATGGGAGTGTGCATATCTAGATCATGCTACTTAATGCTACTTAAATGCCCATTATTGTGACTACTGTTATTACCAAGGCGTACTTAGTATAAACTACCTGTCACCAAAGGAAAAGAGGCAGAAGACAGACAGTCCACATGTGCTGGCCTGTAATTGTGCCTAACAAGGGTTAACCAGCACTTCTGACTGGGCAGGATGGCCAGTAAGTCCCCCTTTGGACCAAGAACTAGGTTTAGTCCCTAAACACTCAAACCTACTGATCACCTTGGCAACTGAAGATTGGTGGATGGATCCCTTCAGACATCACCAGATGGTGGCTGGGAGGCTGGACATGGAGTGAAGGTGGGCTATGCTCATACCTGACTGCAGATACTGAATAGCTGTGTGACCCTGACAAGTCATTTCATTCCTCTCTATCTCAGTTTCCTTCTCCGTAAAATAGTAGTAATAATATCTCCTACTGCACAGAGTTTGCTGTAAGGATCAAGTTAGCTATCCTATGCAAACCAATGCTGACAATTATTATTACTATACTTGTTACAATTAAAATATGGCGGGAGGGGGGGAACTAGCCTGTGTAGCACCTTCAGAGTTGGGAAAAGGAATTCATAATTTACCTAGTTGGCAATAGCAAATTAGTCTATTTTTTTATTGATTCTTCCATTCCAAGAGATTTCCTGTGTTAGGAGTCCTGTGTTTGGTACAATTGGCATCAAAGTCTACAGGATAGTCAGAGCCTTGAGGTCTCAAGTCGTGTGTTCTCCACAATGTCTTGGATGCAGAGGGTGCTCGATGAATGTGTATAGAAGAAATGGGCTTTCAAGGAAGGCATCAGTGAAAAGCACAGGCTTCACTGGCTCTCAGAGGCATTGCTCTCAGGGTAGCAGCAACTTGGGTGGGCTGGGGAGAAGTGGGGAGGGAAGTTCCTGGCCCAAGCCCACTGGGCTTGGAAGATCGGGGCAGGGGGCAAGAAAAAGATGTGTGCTTTTCCCTAGCAACACAGGCTAAGGGGGACTGAGGTCTTTACTGGAGGTTTCTTGTCTCACAGATCATATGCAGCCACAACTGAGAGGAGGAGACTTTGCCTGCTCTGGGAGAGTGGAAGTGAAGCACCAAGGCGGCTGGGTGTCTGTCTGCAGTCCTGACTTTCCTCTGCAGACGGGCAGTGTGTTGTGCAGGGAGCTGCAGTGCGGCACCCTTGTCTCCATCCTGGACAGGGCTCACTTTGGAAAAGGAGGTGGCCAGGTCCTGCCTGAGGAGCTACAGTGTCAAGGCAATGAGTTCCATGTCACCTTGTGCCCTACAGTGCCCACTCACAGTAGGAAATGCAGTTCTGACAGGACCATTGGCATCATCTGTTCAAGTGAGAGTCAGAGAACAAATTGCCTGCTCTCTACCCTGGCTTCCAGGGCCATGGGCTCTTCTCTAAAGTTCCATCTTCTCCCCAGGGTACAGAGACTTCCAGCTGGTGGATGGTGGCTCCAGGTGTGAGGGGCGTGTCGAGGTCCAGGTCCAGGGAGTCTGGGGAGCCCTCTGCAGCTCCCACTGGGATCCGGCCAATGCCAATGTTCTCTGCAAGCAGCTTGACTGTGGAATCGCTGTCTCAGTCCCCACAGGAGAGTATTTTGGAAAAGCAAGAGGTCCTGTATGGAGGCACACATTTCATTGCTCAGGGACTGAGCCTCACCTGGAGACTTGTCCAATGACTGCCTTGGGAGCCCCACTTTGTTCCCCTGCAAATATTGCTTCTGTGAACTGCTCAGGTAAGAGAAGAGAACCTTCCATTTGGGGTCCAGGAGCAGAGGGACACCAGGTATCCTTCCTAAGAGACCTGTCCCTGAGAGCAGGCAAATCTGAGAAGAGTCTATGTAGTCAAGGAGTTCCATGGGAAGGAGTCTCAAGAACAAGTAGAGGGACCCCAGAGGACAAGGACTTGCCTTTGGGGCTGGACCTTCCTCTATATCTAATGCAGCCACCCCATCTAGCCCTACACACACACACACACACACACACACACACACACACACACACACACACACACACGATCATCTGACTTCTCCTCCCCTGTATGTGCAAATGGAGCTGAAAGGATGTGTGTTTTCAGGAAATCATTGGGATGCTCAGTTCCAGTGCCAAGGTGCCCAGGCTCAGTCACCTTCATGCTCAGGTGAGAATTTCAAGCAGCACCAGGAAACTTCAGTTTTTGCTAGTGCAGCCTAGGTTGCTAAGCACCCAGTTGCACAACCTCCAACTGCCCCTCTGTCTCCTCAGGCTGCTCCTGGCCCTAGTCCTCTTCATAGCCAAACAGTTGCTGAGTTTGGCAGGCTTTCCATTCACTCACTTCTGTCCTCCTCTTTCCATTCAGGATGGCAACTTCCTTAGCTCAGGCTCATTCTTCACTTCTCACTTGGATTCAAGTCGCTTCCTGTCTTTCCCCTCCCCAGCACATCCTCCACCCAGCTGCCAAAATCACCTTCCTAAGGCACAGACTTGACCCTTTCACTTCCCTGCTCAAAAATTCTGCATGGTTCCCAGTGGGGCCATCAGGATAAAAAACAACCTCCTCAGCTAGACTTAAGGTCAAGCCTTTCTGAAGCTGCCAGGTCCTGCCTACCATTTCTCACTTCCCTTCATGGGTCCTACATCT